TCGTGAAGTCCTTGTGTCACTTGTTGAACATCACCACATTTCAACTACTACAAAGTTTTGAATATCGGGTTTTGTGGAGGTTGAAGGTCACCATTGTCCTGAAAGGATAAGGCACGTAAAAGAAAAAAAAATACAAATAATAATAGTAATAATAATAATAGCAACAATTGAAAAATAGTATAATAATAACAATCAACCGTCATTCAATCATCACTGTATCAATCATGCTTTTTTTCATAAAGAAGCGAGCAGACGATTTAAAAGAAAAACCTGTTAGAAAATGTAAAAGTTTTGAGAGAGAGAGAGAGAGAGAGAGAGAGAGAGAGAGATGCAAAGAGAAAGAGAAAAAAAAACAAAAAAAGGAGAGAATGATATTGAAAAGGAAAGAAGAAGAAATTGTTAAAGACAAAAAAGTTTTAAAACCAAAAAATATTTAAAGAGAGATCAAACGTGTCGAAACATTTAGAGAATGAGCGAGAAAGAGAAAGAAACACAGGCAGGTGGAGAGAGAGAGGGGGATAGAAAGAAAAAGGAAGGAATAGAAGAGGCGAATTAATTGAAAAGAAAAAATAAAAGAGAGAGAGAGAGAGTTGGAGGAAGAAGAATAAAAGAGGAAGTGCGGAAAACATGATATCAGTGTTTAACCTGAAAAAATTTGTTTACACATTCCCGTTATAATATCAGTATATAAGGGCAACAGTAACAGTAACGATGAATACTTAATAACAACAGTAACACTAAGCAAGAATACTTAACAGTAATAGTAATGCTAGCAGGATCAAGAGAACTTATAAAAAATTTTGGTAAGAAATAAGAGAAACAGAGAGATAGATAGATAGCGAAAGAAAGAGGCAAACAAACAGAAAGAGAGAGACAAACAGAAAGGCAGAAATAAAAGAAGTAGAAATAGTATGACAATACTCAATGCCTAATAGTAGTACTAGCAGTAGTAATAGTGATATAGTAGTAATCACGGGAGTTCGCAGGCACGTATCGTACTTCGGCAATGAAATCCCTTCAAATAAACCAAAAAGTTAAAATTTTGCTTTTATTTGATGTTTATATTTTTAGTACCACTGTTTAACCATGAAAAAAATAACATCCATTGAAACGTCAGTGGCTTGTTTTTTTTTCACGTTAATTTTATTAGTGTTTTTTCGTTTTTTATTTTCAGATTTTTGTACTAAATGTATTTAAAAATAATCATGCAAGCACAGTAGAAACCAAAAAAATGGAGTATTGCAAAGAATTATAAATAATTTCTTAAGAAAATATAGAAGAGTATCTCTATAGCGATAATCGCAAATTTCAATTTTTTTTAATTCATGCAACTCTAACGAACGGGGATCAGCTCACGTAACATTCTTTACTTGGGTTTGAACCATTGTGTGCAGAAGGCCGCTGTATCGTGCACACAAGACCACAGGACACACATACACATACATACACATATTTCACAAAATCACATTGTTTGATAGTCTTCGAATTTCGGTTGGGCAGATAGTATTCGAATCAGGTGACCGTGCAATAACAAGGACGCGAAATTAAGCATGGCGCTTCTGCCGTCTGAGCCTACTCGCCAGCAACATTTTGGTATGGCCAG